AAAGTGATAAAAAAATAACCTTTTACTTTTTTACTAACACAGCCTTGACAAATAAAAATGTTCTTTAGGTACAAACATCAAACAATTCAAATAAAAAAAATAAATCTAAACAAATTTGAACTAAACTAACTTCTATTTAAACTTATATATAAAATAACTAAAAAAAAATAAAAATAAAAATGCAATAAACTATTCTAAAATAAAGTTTCCAGGTATAGATAATATTTACGGTAATATTTTTGTTAATGACTTCTCTGAGATACGCAAACCTATTTTTTGAAATATTTAAATCATCAAATAAAACTGGATTTATACCAGAAGTTAAAAGTAGCAAAAATTGTACTTATTTTTAGAACTGTTAGATATTTAGAATAAATAATTATCGAACAATCTCAATACTTTTCTAAGATACTTGAGCAAATAATCTACAATAAGTTTTATGAGATACCTAATTCAAAACAAATTCTTAGATTAAAACAGTTCGACTTTCAATCACATCACTCAACAGAAAATGCAATTTTTTATGCAGTTTAATTAATAACTTAAGTGATTCTTTTAAAAGCTGTTTGTATTTGGAACTTTTATAAACCTATCCAAAGCATTTGTCACAATTAATTGTGATATCTTACTAAAAAAAACGAAAAATATGGAAAAACAGTTTCAAAGAATACTTTCTGTGGTCAGTTTTCCCTTTGCTTAACAAACACGACATTTTTTGTGGTGTCTATCATTGCCTGACTTGCCTAGTAGCAACATTGATAGAAAGAGTCTGCCTGAAAGTTGTTCAAAATCCTCTCCAACAACAAGACAAGGGTTGTGAAGGATCTTAGGGGTTAGAGAAAATATCAGTTTTACATTACTCAGCAAAAAATCCAAGTATGAAATGTGTCTGCCAGTACTAAGTGTATAAATCTTTTATGAATTTAAAGCACATTGAAGAATTAAAAGAAAGGCTAACTTCTTGTACCGTTTATAGAATTTTTGAAGGGTCTGAATTCCAAGTAATTGCTGGTCTACCCAGTCAACACCACCCATATGCATATTGTACAACTTTAACAATGACAGTTTAAGTATAATGTTACCATATTTATCAGATTTACCTGTTTCCAACATCATTGGATTGTGATATATGTTGACAGCATGTAAACAACTTTTTTTTTGTTACCCGATTTGTCTTTAGTTGCGCGATATTTGCAGGCTAACATTTTATTGTCTTCGCTGCAAGTTTTGTAAAAATCAGCAGTCCATTTTGCAAGTTGCTCAATTATTTCTTTTTGCTATAGTGTTTTAGGTTTGCACAAATAGTTTCACAGACATAAGTCTTCTTGGCAAGAGAAAAGTTTGTTTAGTAACTATCAATAAAGACTATATAACCTATATTTAGAAATGATCCCTTCAGCTCTATTGGTATTCGTTGGCTTAAAGCCATTGTAGAATTTTTGTCACCATCATGCATTCCAGTACCACAGTAAACTAAGAAATCAAAACAACGCTCTCTGATCATGTTAAGGAATGGTCTGACCATATGCTATCAATCTCTTATAGGAACATTAAGATTATGATTAGGATCATTATTGTTATTGAAATGAAGAAATTTGAGAATATCCTTGAAACGGTCTTGAGACATGGTTTTCAAAAAGATTGAGGTCCAATAAAGATCATCGGTGGACCAATACATGTTCCAATATTTTTTTTATGTATATTACCCGTTAATATAAATAGACCATAAAAGGTTTTCATTTCAATTACTGTAACAGCTTTCCAATTCTTAAGGTAAGAATAATTGACCTTTTCAAGGTGATCGCTCAAAAAATATTTGCAGTATTGGTTAGTTTCATAAGAAAATGTGTTTTAAAATAGTATTAGTTAGGTAAGATTCAAAAAAAGTCAAGTGTTCTGTCTCCTGTTCTAATATTTAGACTTTCAGTAGAAAAGAACTGAAAACTGTTATTAATTTTTTCCTCATTATCTGCATCAACATGATCTCATTTTGTAATTCTGTACTTCTGTTTGATCAGGAACACAATCAATGAACTGTTGAAAAGAATGAAAGAATGTAAACCACTTATTGTTCAACTTCTACTTCCTCTGGTTATTAACCGTTTTTGGGGCTGTGAAATATTATAAGTTTTTGAGTTTCATAACATTCTTTTTCAATCTCAGATTCAATACTTATATCACTAGATGATTCCTCATAAACTTCTTTTTCAGTTTTAGATTCTACTATAAGGTCATTGTTTGATGTCTCTTCAAATAAAAAAATATTATTGCAGAAATTTTGATTTCTATGTATCTTTTAATGGATGGTGAGTATAAAACTAATTTTTGAACTAGTAAATCTTCAGATAAGGGTATTCGTTCTGCATTTTCATAATCTAAAACACTTTCACAATCACAGCCATTTTTCTAAATTAATTTTTAACCGATCAATAAATGCAAATGACAAACGGTTTAAAGCATGAACTGTAGAAATTATTCTTATTTCAAAAATATATTTAATGTTTTCTCAAACCTCTATTGATGTTCAGAAAAATAAAAATTATTGATGGACCGCCAAGCGGTTCATTCGTCGTTTAGAAACAGGTTTTATGCACCACGGCACGGGTCACGCGTCAGGAAAGTGTTAAAAATTTTTTTTTCTAGTTTTACAATTATATACCCTGGCTTGTTTACCCTATAAATAAAACAATAATCCCGCAAACGTAGAACTTACTAAATTAGGTAACTTTATTGCTCTGAAGAAAAAACTAAAATATCTTATAATTAAAAACACCAATTTTATCGTTATGTTTTAAATGTAAAAGCGCAGTTATCATAATAAATTGAAATAAGAACAATTTAAATTGTTAAAAAAAGCAATTAATAAATAAAAAAATTTATCTCAAACTTATTTATAATGTCTCAACTATATCTCAAATCAATTTATAAAAATTTTTCACTAGTTTCACAAACTTTTCAACGAGCAACTATATTTAACCAATTTTAACAATAGAAATTACATATAGTTAATACAAGTATGTTATTTATACTGATTTAAAACAAATAAATTGAGTTAACGTACATAACAACGTATTATGGAAAACTTTGGGAGATACATCTTTCAAAGAAATGCAAACAAACTAGCTAACTCTCCTACCTTTTTCCAATATATTTACTCTTTGGTAATTACAACTTAAACTAAATTAATCATTTTTAGCCGTAAAGATATGCTTGTATCTGTTTCATTTGTAGTTAATTATACTAATATCAGTTTATTTTGTAGGTGAGTATACCAATACTAGTTTCATTTCTCATCTTTTTGAAAGCTGCTGGTAATCATAATTACTTTTACTATAAACATGTTAAAAAGCTTTAACATTGCAGACAAAACAAGATGAACCATTGTTTTAAGTCTTTCATTTTTAAATCACGTTAGTTTGCTCTACTTCAGACTGCTATAACATTTACCTAAGTACTTGTATTTACAAAGAAATAGTTTTGGTTTTTTAAAACCAAAAACACTCTTCGCTCAGATTTGAACACTCTTCGCTCAGATTTAAAGAATCTCTATAAACAATAAATTGGATATATGTATACAATAAATGTAATCATGGACGCACAAATTCTGCTTATGACCTTTTTCTTGAGCATTATAACAATCATTTTTCAATACACGAAATTGAAATAAAAATAAATCATCTTAAATGCCCAGGAATTACAAGAGGAATACGAAAGTCTTCAGAAAAAAAAAAATAATGTACATTAAATATTTCAAAAATAGAAAAAAAGCAAATCATTCTGTATATAAAGAGTATGAAAACCTATTTGAAAAAGTAAAGAAAAAATCTGAAAAAATATATTATTCTAAGCAATTAAAAAAAAAAATCAGAACAGAATTTCCCAAGAAAACTTGGGAAATTATGAAGGAAGTTATTGGTAAAAACAAAATAAACTCAGACATTTTACCCTCCAGAATAACGGAAAACGAATTTCAGTATATAGATAAAAACATATATCAGAATCATTCATTTGTAAACATTCATGCGTCATTTGTAAACATTCATGCGTCATCCTTGCGTCAAAAATGCAAACCTTAAAAAAATCAATTCAAATTTATTTTTGTTCCTTTCATAGTTCATTACTTAATAAAGATCTAAAAGTAGAAGAAATAGAAACTGCAATTAAATCAATTAAAAAAAAAAGGCTTCAAGTATTGACAACATTTCTAGTAACGTTGTACTTTAGGTTTTTTCTGTTATAAAAAACCGAATTTTAAACATCTTTAACTCCTTAATTATAACTTAAGCTTTATATAAAGGTAAAAAATTTTACCTTTATATAAAGCTAGAGATACATCTAATTTAAGTAGTTATAGACTATTTTCAATTCTTTCTGTATATTTTAAACTCCTTGAAAGAAATAGAGTCTATAAATATCTAACAGAATACAAAATTTTAAGTGTTAGTCAATACGGCTTTTAAACACAACATTCAGCCGATCATGCCATCTTAGATCTTGTTAACAACATTAAATTTGTATTAGGAATCTATCATTAAAAAGAAAATTGTATTAGGAGTCTTTATTGATCTGCCAAAGGCATTCGACATACTAAACCATACAACACTAATGGAAAAAATGTAAGGTATTAAATATCAAACCATAAAAAAGGTTCTAAAACTATTTACATAATAGACAAAAAATGTGTTATTATGGATCTTATTAACAATTCAAAACAGTTTTATTAGCAATTCAAATAAAGTTTGGTGTCCCTCAGGGATCTATTTTAGCTCCTCTTCTATTCCTAAACTACATTAACAGACTTCCTAAAGTCTCATCCAAATTAGATTGCACAGTTTTTGCAGATTATACCAATATGTTTTCTTCTTCAAATTTTGTAAACAACCTCTTTTTAAGCGTAAATTTAGAACTAAACTGTAAAAACTCGTAAATACTATGTAGTCTTAACAAGTTATAACAAAATAAAAAAATATATATATACATATTTAAAAAATTAATTTTAC